AGCCATTTTCAGGCAGTTTCCCAGTTTTGGCATAGCCTTTTGGTCAGGTTCAAAAATGGTCTTCTGGACTTTCTATTGAGCTCCCAAGTACTTTAATGTGTAGAGGGACACTTCAACTTCAAAACAAGCCTTTAATCTCCAATTTCCATCTAGCCAATTGTAAGATATGAATCTCCAAAGTAGGCACCATGAAACTGTTTTTACACTGAAACAACAGATCAGATCGACCTGATCCTATATGAGGTCGACCGAAAAGTGTATGTCACCGTGACATGCATGTCACCGTAGCAAAGTCCTAATAATTTTGTTTTCAAAAAATTATTAAGTGCTCCTTGATATTTTCGAGTTTATTTTGTATTTTGTGGCTAGATATCAGCGGAAGTTGTAAATGAATTGGAATCATGTAAGGTACAATGATTTTGGGTAAATCATGTTGAGTTGTGATCAAATGCATTAATTTCCTTGTTTGGTAAAAGATTGATTATGTCCGAGATGAGAAATTATATTGTTATGCTTAATTTACTCAAAATCATGCTTTAAAACTTAAAACTTTATGCTTTTTCATTTCTAGGTCACCAAAACGTTTCTACATATAATCGCTCTTTTCACTTATAAATGTAGTCAAAATCTACGCTTTAAAACTTAAAAGCTTACATTTTGCGCTTATAGTTCATCAAAACACTTCTATATTAAATCGCAATTTTGACTGCATTAATTATGCTCTAACAATTATCTTGATATTTAATGTTTGACGTATCACCTACGTGGGTTGACGACATAAATATTGTATTTTTTTAATTTTACCATGAATATGACGTATTAAAAAGTACTTACACAAATATACAATATTTGTGTAGGGTTGCAGGCGCGGCCGCCAGAGACCCAGGCACGGCCGCATTTTGAAATCCTAAAACCAGTCATCCTTCTTTTTATTTAAACCGCGCGACGCCACATCCTCTACCCCTTTCTTATCATCTTCTTCTTCTTCCTTCCCACACTGCCGCCTCCCCAACCTGCTCACCAGATAACCACCACCACGCCGCCGTCGCCCCACAACGCCGAGGAGGGCGACCCCGCCGCAGAAAGAGGCGGACCCGCTGTAGACAGAGGCGACCCCGCCGCCGCCTGAGTTCAACCTCGACCGAGCGGATGTCGTCCGACGACGAAGAAGCGGTCGTCGGCAGAGGCAGTTGGAGATGCTGACGAGGTCGTGGAGGCGGCGACCGTTTTCGTGGTGACAATCTCACCGGCTGCGGCCAGAATCTCGCCGCCGACGATTTTTTTTTTAATTAATGTTAATGTTGTTTTTGTTGCTTTTGCAGTTACTAGGCTTATGGACAGTTATTACATGACACTATCGTCTGCGACAATTGATCCAGCTCCAGTCAATCCAATACTTCTTTGGGGACATGGTCAACAACGTATCGACTCAGTTTGGACAAACGAGGTAAGTATTTGAATTTTTTTTGTAAAGTTACTTAGCTAGTTAGATTAGACTAGTTTACTAAGTAAACTGAACTGTACTGAAATTAGAATAAGATTACGTATAATTTTTTTTGAAATTAGTATAATTTCATATTAAATTAGATAGATTAGATTTTACTAGGTGAAATTAGAATTATTACGAATGAAATTGAATATTTTGTGCACTATAGGCTGGTGATCGACCTTACCATGTTCGAGGTACGACCAATTTGGTCACATACCATGAGCGTTATCTGTCATATCTCGGACCGGCAAGCTTGTCTAGTGTTTTGCCCCTGGTCCCTACGAATTCTGATGCGCGTTTGATTACTGCGCTCGTAGAGCGTTGTCGACCCGAGACGTCGACCTTTCACTTGCCGTTTGGTGAGGTCACGATCACGTTAGAGGACGTTGTGACACTAACCGGTCTAGCAATCGACGGTGATGCCGTCATAGTAGACATACCGGATAAGGAATGGCCGGAGATCTGTTTGAGACTGTTTGGCTGAGTGATTGTTTTCGGCGGTGTTCCTGATGATCTTTCCGGCGGTATCGTTGGGATTGTTTGGCTGAGGGATGAATTCAATCATCTTCCGGGAAATGCATCTCATGAGGTTACAGAGCAGTTTGCATGAGCTTATGCTCCATCTCTGATGGGAGGTGTATTGTTCTCGGATCGGTCTGGAGCTACGGTGCACCTATAGTACCTACTCTTGGTTGAGGATTGGCAGTAGGGATGACAATCAAACCCATGGCCGCGGGTACCCGACCGCCCCCGACCCAGTCAACGTGGGTAATTCCCGCTTTGACAGGGTATGAGGCGGGTATGGGTAAAACCCGCAAAAAGTTTGATGGGTATGGGGCGAGTATGGTTTTAGCCTCCCCCGCCCCATACCCATACCCATATCCGCCCCACCAAGAGAATTTCTTCACATATACAAAAACATGTGGATCAAATTGTAATCTATCAATGGTGATGAGGATAACTCAAGGAAATAAATAATAGAAATGCAATTGAGTGACCACTTTAATCAAAACCTAATTCATTTCCCTCAATTCTCCTTTCACTCTTTCACTTTCCCCCGTGTCAACAAGATTATGTTAGTAAATTATTACTTAGTAGATGTATAAGAGTTAGAACATAATAATTTGAAAAATATTATACTCTATATTATGTATTAATGAATGTTTTAGGATCATATCCTTTGAACCATATTAAGAAAATGATCGTGTTTTGTTGAATTCGTGATATAATAGGTACGTTTAGAGTTGTAGTTCAAACTTTTCTTGTGAATTTTTGGATAATAGTGTTGGACGTACGGGTACGGGTATTACCCATGGGTACCCGAAACCCACGGGTATGGGGATGAGTTTGCCGAACATTCCCCCGCATGGGTATGGGTTTGGATATTTGAAGATGTGGATGGGGATGGTTTAGACAAACCCGCCCCAAACCCGGCCCATTGCCATCCCTAATTGGCAGAGAGCTGGACGATTCACCTGTGGAGCAGCTGTTTTATCCTGCCTGTACCGTGAGATGGGTAGGTCAGCTTTGCACGTTACGCATTCCTCCACTTCTCTAAGAGGTGACCTTGGTGGATGGGTCCGCTTACTGCATCTCTGGGCGTGGGAGCAATTCCCACATCTGACACCGCGACATTCAGAGACGAGGGCGCAGATTGTCGAGCACGCATCCCCACGTGGTGTTCGATGGCTTCCGGCCAACATTCGTTAGTATGGTGACCAACTATTCCAGTACAAGCTGTGGTTTGACAAGATGGAAACCATGGTGGTTAGTATATAACATTTCATTTTATAGAATAGTTTTCATTTGTTTGTTTTACATTTTGGAGCAATAACGTGACCATTATTCGTCTGTAGTGGTAACCTTACGTTGAGAGAGCACATCATCTCAAAGGTAGTGTGATACAGTCTGAGACATTTCGAGCAGTAGTGCCACTAATCGGAGCATATGGAGTGGTATCGAGATGTCACCAGACGTTCAGGCACACGGAGAGGACCTATAGTGGAGGCATTGGTTAGTTATTTATTGTTTAATATTTTTTTGTATTTGTCTTGAATTTCTTAACTGTGTGAAAACCGAAATAGCAGCCGCTGCCACCTTAATCAAATGATCGAAAAAACCGAAATAGCAGCAGCGTCTGAGTCTCAGGCGTTCTCGGCGTCGCCGAATTTATTCTTCAAAACACAATAACTGTGTCAATATTTTTTAATCCGCCATATTGACGGTAAATTAAAATAAAAATACAATATTTATGTCATTAACCCTCATTGGGTTTGATTTAGAATATATTGCGGAATATGTTGCCTCCCAACTGACGATTCTTTCAGGTCTTGTAGTTCACGCATGCATTAGGATGAAGGAGCTTACTCCCTACTAGTCTTTCAGATGGAGGTTTCCCTAATGAGCTAATGAGATTGATCCTGAAGTCATGACTATCTGATCAATTGTCTTCTTATTCTTCTTCCTATCCTCCATCTCACTATCCGAACAAATTATCTGGTCTCCAAAGTCCAAGTTTGAAAGACTTTACCGAAGCTAACTAAGAAAGCAAGTACGTTGAGGAAACAAAATTAGCATGAAGGCTGAAATCTGACAATATACGTTATCGAGAAGTGCCATCCCCTTAGAGACCTTGTATCTCAACTTTTGGTCATGGGATATCATATCAGCATTCCCTACTCCCAGTTGATCACAATTAAGCACCGAGAGCCCACACCTAGAAACAGAGCTGGTCCACCATTATATTCCCCAGACACCTTCAGAGATGGTTAGTGAGAGCTTTCAGAAAAAAATGGTTTGGAGAATCTGAAATCCCACTCATTCATTGAAGCAAGGGTTGGAGACAGATTGGCAGCTAAGGCTTAGCCATGATGGACTCACACAGCCTTCAACAGTTAATGCACAGTAGAAAAAGAAATCAGAAAACTGCAGACAGTAACAACCCTCGCAGCTCCCAAAGTATGCGGATAATGCATTTGGCTATAAACGTTCTCACGAGCTGCTATGAATTTGGTGGCTGCTGCTATGCTTAACTGACTCTAAGCTAGACGAACAGATAATTGTATATGGCACAAGCATGAAGACATGAACAGTTTGTATCATTCGAGAGACTTACATCCACTGGCTAATTGAAATTGTCAAAATCAAACGTCAGAGAGTGAAAATGCTTTCGGCTTTTGGAGAATGCTAATAGACTAAGAAACAATGTGAACCCTTAATACCACTGATCATAGATTCCAAGGAATCACCATTCACCAACAAGAATGTACAACTCGAGGATAGCCTGCACCAGGAGAACTCAGAAGAATGATTATCACATCAATGGTGCTCAATGGGGTTGGGTTTTGATTTGATGCATAAACAAGCACTTGGCTGCTGCAAGCCTATTTTATCTCCTTTCAATTCAGTCGCATCCTGCTTCTAAATGCTCAGGACCTCAATCTATGGCTACAATGAGGAAAAGGGTACCTTGGCTAACACAGTAGAGCTTATGTAAATAATGTTCCCCAACTTATGGCAACTCTTTTAAGGCATCTGCTCCAGCTATGATCTCTAACAACTCGCCCGTGATTTTAGCCTGGCGTTCTCTGTTGTAAACAACAGAGAGATTCTTGGTCAACTCAACTGCATTATCAGTTGCATTACTCATCGCATTCATCCTCGATGCCAGCTCGCTCGCATATGACTCCTGAAGTGCTCTCAAGATCTGGCTGTTCAAATAAAGAGGCATCATAGCATCAATTATTTGGACAGGGTCCTGCTCAAACTCCATAAGAGGTGAAAGCCCCATACCACCTCCTTTGGCACTCACACTCTCCCTCTCCACAGCCAATTTCCCTTCCTTACTTGTCAACCTAAAGAACTCATCTTCAGTAGCATCAACCGAATCACCATTAGCAGCCCGAATGCCTCCTTTAGGCGACAAAGGCAGCAATGTCTGGATCACTGGTTTCGACTTGATCAAAGACACAAATTTAGTGTACACAAGCTCAACCTTATCAACCTCTTCAGTTATAAACATTGAGAAAACATCATCAGCAATCATTTGAGCCTCCTTTGCTGTGGGGAAACTGTTCCCTTCAACGAACCTGTCAACTGAAATGTTAGGCCTGCGCATATAGTACGAATTACCCTTCTTCCCCACACTGATCACAGAGCAATCCAACGCAAGCTTTCCTAATTCAGCCATACGGGCTTCTGCCTTCCTCAAAACAGCATTGTTAAAACCACCACAGAGACCCCTATCACCCGTGACAACAACGAGAGCAACTTTCTTGACGGGTCTAACCTCTGTTAGAGGAACATTAACGTCCTCTGGCTGAAGGCGTTCGTTGATATCATAGAGGACATCAAGTAAGGTTTCGGCAAAAGGTCTGCCGTTGACCGCAGCTTCTTGAGCTCGCCGGACTTTTGCAGCAGCCACGAGCTTCATTGCCTCGGTGATTTTTTTGGTGTTCTTGACTGATTGCATCCGCTCCCTCAGCTCACGGATTCCGCAGCAGATTAGAGCTCTTGGTGGTGTCTGCAAGGAAGCTCCTTTCCCAATCGAAAGGCCGAATGGGTTGGATTGAAATTGAGAACAGAAGCCAAAAGTGTCGACTTTCGACAAGTTTGGAGTGACCCACAATGCTAGATTGGCAGAGGACATGATTCGGATTCAGGGAAGACCCAAGGGCAATCAGAAGATAAACCGCTGTCTACCAAATCCTTTGCACAGCAGTGATATCTAAGGGTTTTGCTGAGAGAAGCAGAACAGTGAAACTTTGGGAGGCTGCTGAAGACGGATAAGTAAGAGGTCGATTGAGCTTACCAAGAAGAAAAATATTGACTTAATGAGGAGGCTTACAATCAGGGCATCCACTAAGAGCCTCGCCGTTGAAATCGGTCAACAGGGGCTGGTGACAAACGAGATACGGTTTCCGGCGAATGAATTCGAATTCTCCGCCGGTGCGGTTTAGGAGGTGAGGTGCTAGCGGTGGCAGGGACCAACCAGCAGCCAGCCTCTCTGACCGGAGCTTCCAAAGTGGAAATTAAACCCTTTTAGCGAGGTAAAAGAAAAAAGAAATTCTACCAATTTTGAAACAAATGTCGGGTTCCGGGTCAGTAGCACGAATGCAAACCGGTTGACCGACTTATTTGGGTCGAACTGAAAGCCCCCCATTGCCATCTTCCGGACAGAGAGCCCTGCAAAACAAGGTTGAAAATACGGAATCATACTCTTTCCGTCTCTTCTCTTCTGCAACCGTCTGCTGTTTCCTTCCGTAAATGGGTTCGAATTAACTCCGTCGAAGATTGGATTGGCGAAAATGTCGAAATTTTTCGCGCGAATTTCTGGCTACTTCAGCAACCGTGCTTCCGCTGGGGTGGACAAAGCAGGAAATCGCTACTTCTCCAGAATAGAAGAGATCGATGGCGTAAGTAAGTACATATCTTTTTCTCCTCGTGATTTTTTCTATTGATCTTAAGCCCTTCTGTTCGTTCTTTTTCTTCTTTTGAGCCCTGCTGTTGCCATTATACATGGAATGTCATCTGCTTAGCTGATTTGAGCTGAAGTTCAGTGACTTGGTTATTGTAATCCAGTCAGTATATTAAGTCTCTTAACATCATTTGCAATTTCTCAATATATGTTCAGCTCTCAATCTTGTAGTGATTATTTGCAGCGAAAGAGAAAAGATGGGTGATATTTAAAGGAGATCAGGATCCAACTTCAGTACCAGGTTAGCCATATCCCAACTCTGGTTCTGCTTGGTTTGGTTTTTGGTGTTTGATTTTCTCAAACCGGCATATATTGTTAACCGTTAGTTGCTGAGATATGGCTTTTGAACTCGTTAATGGTGGTCATTTTTGCTCCCACCATGACATGCTGGCATTGTACTGAAACTTTTAGGATGTTGAACTAGACAACTGCAAATATTCACCCCATCTTATCTTATGTGAGTGGTTTTCTGTTATTTACTACTGCAGTTGAGTGGATATCTTGGCTGAATGGACAGCGGAAGAAGGCTCCAACTCCCGAGGTATAGTAGTAGTTATGTTTGTAATGTTTGATCATTGATGTAAGCTTCACAGGCATAGGAGAAACCTTCTGATGGGATTGCATCATGTTCTCACTTTTCATTAGAGAAGTGAGTTCTGGGTTTTAGCTTCTTGTTGAACCAAAATTTTGTCTCGTCTGGTTCTTGATCAATAACAAACTGCGTAGTACTTTTGAGGGTCCTGTGTCTGATATAAAATATTGCATACTAGATTTCTAAGCACTATTTGATTGTAACTTTGGAGGAATTTCTTCTCCTTGTGTGGGAAGTAGCATCATTATTGGTGTTTTTCTTTTCTTGGCACTTGTTAGATGTCCTGAGCAGAACCATTCCAACCATTTGCTTTTTCATTTTCTCTTCAGGAAATGATGATATTAGAAGCAAGGCGTGAACAAGTCAAACAAAATGTTGCTCGTACGTGTCACATGTGCAATCAGTTGGATATTCTTAAAATGATATATGTGTAGTTCTTTGCATATATCTATTGCAATCTCATATCTGAACTTCCTTATTCTATTAAAAGAGCTGGGTGTGGGAATTTAAGTACTTATGCATTGAAGAGTCGTCACTGAACCATAGAACTGAGTGTACTTATCAGTTATCACTTTATATCCTAGAAAGTACTATTTAGAAGGTTTCTGCTCCTATTTCTTCTGCTGTCATAGTACCACCTTATGAGAAACAATCACTAAGTATCTGCTGTGGCGAAGCATCTAAACATTAATTTGGTGAATGCGCGCTTACTCATATTGCTGACAAGCAGAAAATGTAGATGCCATCAATGGTCTTTAGCATAATGTATGTATCTATGCTGCATAGTGGAATTCTAATTTCCAGATGCTTGTTGTTGCCCTATTGTATTTTCTCATTTCTTTTCCTTGCATCTAAATCAGTGCCTTCGACAGTTCTGTTGCTGGGTCGCTGTGGCCTGCAGTGTTTAGATTGGACATTTTGTAGATCTCGTGTTCAGCTTTTACTAGCTCTCGGCTAGGACTTCAATAAACATTTTGTTTCCACTTTTGCAGTTCTCAAAAGGGAGGAAGAGGAAAGAAAAGCCAAGGATGGCAGTTCCCGCAAAGTTGTTACCTCAGGTGAGCTAGCTTCACCCCCATGACGAGTCTTGCTATTTATTAACCAACCTTAGTACAAGGAGCTGATTCATTCTACTTTGCACTTGGTATAGGTAAAGGTTCAGGCCCAGACTTGAAGAGTTTCATGCGACAGTTTCCTACTTCCGGAGAAGGTAGACCTCCTTTCCACCTTCATAGAACAAGAGACTTTCGTGGCTCATAAATTTTTTATGTGATCTTTTATTGTAGTTTTAGTTCATTGGACAAACAATTCATATCCCACATTTTCTGTCTCAGTTTAGCATTATATATTTCAAGTTTTCATGGTGGCGCTTGCTTCGCAGGTGGTATCGTAACTGAGAAGGAAGCAGATGAATCAGAAAGATTGAGGTGGGTTATCTTTAAAGCTTATACCCAGAATGAGATCCCAACTTTGAACACTTTCTAGCGTCATTGCTCAAGCGCTTGAACTTAAATTAAATGTCATCGTGCATCCAATTGGCATTTTGAACCTTTCACATTAAGTAGAGCTAGACTCTCATGCTGCAAGTGATGTTACCACTGACCACTTGTAATTCAACAGGAACGAGGATCCAAAGACCGACGAAACTGAGCAAGAAGAGGCAGAAGGGGAACCTGTGCCACGGTATGTGTTCATAAATAGTAAATGTATAGTTGCTGGCGGTTACTACCTGGTAATGTTTATGACTTTATGTGCTTCAAACTATGGCTGATTAATCAAATCTCATCCTAACACACTCAGCTTTCTTCTTCAGGGGGTCAGAACCGACAGGATCTGGAGCAACCTTCCGGCCGGGGACTTGGCAACCACCAACATAAATCTATGTTTTCAGCCTGGTGTTTTACTATTTTAGTCTCCCCGGGTTCTTATAACACTTGTTTTCTGATAAAAATGAACTGATAGTTCTACGTCAAGTTTGATATTCTCAATCATGCGGGGATATATAGTTCTTCAGAACTCTGTATCACAAACTGAGCACTGAGCGAAGAAGATGAGATGGCATTACTCTTCTTTTCATTTAACTTTTACAACTTCATTGGTTGAGTTCATAAGCTATGCTTATTACTCCATGAATCAAACTTCAAGGTTTTTTGCAAAGAGCAGCTGCAATGCAGTGCAGCAACCAGTAGACTCGATCCATGACTTTTTCGTTAATATTAGCTTAATGGTAGTTCCTCCAAACCCATGATCTCTTGCATCCACAGCTTAATCAATTATGCAACAGTGAGAGCATACAATGCAAATCCTGTAGACATAACCAACAATCTTGAAAATATTGAATAAACGCACCACAGCTTAACATAAATTAGGACATAACTTCAGTAGTCTTGATTGGTGACAGACAGATATTTGGGGGGGAAATGCCAGAAGATTTCCGTCTGTTTACTCACTCCTTCACTATACAAAACTATCCATAACCCTTATTTCCTGCATCGCATCATCTAAACAAGCAGAATACAAGAGGGAAATGAATATATAAGGTCTTCTTTCATCCTAGTACGTGAGGCCTTGCATCTCCTGCCTCTTGGCTCGCCAAGTTGCAGTATGGATAACATCTTACTTCCTCCTCCTCTTGGAATCTCCCCTTCTGGTGGCGCCGGCTGTTCCTCTCCTGGAACCCACGACTGGGGCGCCATCGTTGGTAGAGGGAACAGGCAAATGATGCCCAGGAACCAAAGCAGGGAACCCAACAGCAGGGATTCTGCAAAACACAATAACAATCCCAAAATGCCATTTAGCTAAAGCAGTGCATAAACCAGAGAGATGAACCCACTAAGTAGATCAATCTTGATCAAGTTGGCAACAAACATCTCATCGGTGTGTTCATTCATCAACGCTAAGCCAAAGCTATAAAGTTCAAGTCTTTAACAAGGCGCCAGTACAAAAAACGTCACAAGATCCTGACTAACACATAGGTGGACTGTGGACATGCACGGAAGTATAAATTGTATTAGGCAGTTCAAAGTTTGATTCTTTTTTACTCCGCGGGAATTCCATGGTGTTTAGTAAGCCAAAGAAGGAAGAAGACATACCCAACAAGAGCACAGCAGACTCCTGCTCGGTCGAGGTAGCACCAAACGCTGCACCACTTCCATTGTGCAAACTGAATCGCAGAGCTTGATTCTCAGCAACGCAGCACTGAAGCAATCGCCCCAGTCTCCTGCATTCCCATTCCAGATACTTGCTCTTCGACTCCAGGTCCTTCACATACTCCTTCTTCCTCTCCCTAGATCTCACCGCCGCATCCCTGTTTCTCAACTGCCTGAATAAAAGAAGAAAGAAAACAAGACATGCACACTCATCGAACTCAATTCAATTCCTTTACCATACCACACTGCACATACTTATCAAAAACAGCAAGAGAATTAGGGCCGGGATTAACAGTTCCTACCTCTGCCGCTTCTTCAAGACGGGATCCTTAGGAGCATTGTCAACTTCAACGGGTGATGGAGGCTGGACCGGTGCTCCAGCTACTGCGAGAGCGGCGTCGTTGTCCTTGTCGGAAGAATCAGGGGTGCCA